TAGAATAGAATAGAATAGAATAGAATAGAATAGAATAGAATAGAATACTTTATTGGCCAAGTGTGATTGGACATACAAGGAATTTGTCTCTGGTTATAAAATTATAATTGGTCTCCGGTTATAAAATTATAATGATAAAAGCATATGTAGTATGATTATATCCTTCCCATGTATTCTGTCACTCTTCTCACTGGAAGAAACATTGCTAGAGGGCTGTAGAAACAATTTGGGGAGAATAATGTTACCTTGATAGTATCAAGCCATTGGTTCAACTTAGAGTTGATTCTGTTTTAAGTGCTGCCTTAGGTCTATATTTTACAATTATCCCAATTTAAAAACCTACTAGATAATCCAAATGTTTTGATTTCATTCCCACCCTAAAGCTTCCTTGATCTACTATTTCTTTGCCTTCTGTTCTCTGAAATTCTTCCAATCAAAATTGTTTAACATGTTGTCTATAATGACTGTATCTTTTGACTATCTGAAATGTTCCACAAATATAGGAGGATTATGGTTATTAAAAGTTGCATCCCTTTGTTTGGTAAGTTAAATTTTCGGACAAGTTGGAGAAGAAGAAAAAAACAGGCACGATAGAATTACATTAACCTGATGTTGCAATGGAGCTGTGGTTAAATTCCTGGTTTCTGGAGAGACCAGAAGATGTAGGTCCCTGTAACTTTGCCAAAGTATTCATAAACTGTACAACATACACTATCCAAGCTCTGTTAGTCTTATGCGAATTCTGTAATTTAGATTTTATGTAGCCTGTGCCAATATGGCAGACTAAACTGGTTTATTCATAGATTCGTTACAAAAGCTCAAAGCAGCTTGATATGTTCCAGTTTATAATATTTTGTCTAAATCAAGATATGTATGGATGTCCCTGGCAGTGATTCTATACTGGCAGACCTGACTCAGCTAGGGATTCACGTATTGTAATAAATTGGCACATACAATTGGTATATTCCAAAGAGCCTCCTAAAGAAAATTGCTGACATGAGAGAATTCCTTGAGGAGTTTACACATATACTTTAACTCAAGTTAAGATGTTTGTTGTATTCTACATACATGAAGCAGCTGGAATGTGGCCAAAAAAATTGATTTTGTGCATTGTAGGTTGGATGGATCATGCAAATTACCTTACAGACAAGTCCAGTGGAATCTTTAGTTGCAGCTGGCAATATATTTGTGGGGATGGTAAGTTTGCGAAGCAGAGAATTTTAATAGAAAATAGTCCATCTAGCAAGGCAAGAACATGTACTTTTTAAGACTTTTCATAAGCTGCCATAATATTTTTCTTAAATTTTACCGGGTAGATATTAACAGCCATGGAAATCATCTACTTAAAATGTCATTGCACAACTCAGTATCCATTCCCAAGAGACAAAGCAGTACAAGTAGTTAGATTCCAGGCATGAAGGAAGATCCAGAATTTCTAATAGGTCAACAATTATACTGCCTTAGCAGAGTAACATTTTGACATGGGGAGTAAGTTTTAACAATTATCTTATTCTTTTTTTTTTCTTGTTTGTTTCTCGTGGTTTTAGAAAACTCAGAAGCAAGATAAATTGGTTATTGATTCCTCCTAGAGCAGAGATGCTGAATGATATACGAGAACATTGCAGGCTCATACTTTTTCACCAGCCTAATGTTCAGATCTGGATTTGCATTAGATTATATGAGAAAAGGCATCATAAAATCATGCAACAGTGTCCAAAATAGGCAGATGTTTTCTGTCAAGAATTCCTCCTAAAACAGAAACCTATACAATTTTATCTTTTGACTATTTTTTACCAGAAGAATAACCCCAATTGAAACTACAAAAAGCCAAGGCAGAAGATATTCAAAAAGGCACTTCTTTTACAGACTCACTAATAAATAAGGGCTGGAAGGTTCTGTTAAGTTTATCCCTAATTCTTTGCATTAAAACTCCTTGCTGTACTCCATATAATTTTTGCTTCCTAGATCAGGGGTCCCAAACCCCTGGTCCACAGACAGCTACCAGTCCACAGCCTGTTATCAATCAGGCCACACAAATGGTGGGTGAGTGCAAGAAGCTCCATTTGCACAAGAGGTGGCATTCAGCAGGTTCCGACCAGTTCTGTAGCGGAAATTTTGAATAGTTCGGAGAACCGGTGGTAACCTTCCCCCTGGAGTGGGGTGGGAATGGAGATTTTACAGTATCCTTCCCCTGCCATGCCCAACAAGCCACACCCACCAAGCCATGCTGCACCCACAGTGTCAACTAAAAAGATTACTCCTTTGGTCTTTTTAGCTGCCAGAAAAGAGGAGTGGGGGGAAACAAGGCATTCTTGAAATGCCTAGATAATCACTTCAGTAGCCCAAAGTTGTTGGAGCATAAGAAGGTTATTGGAGAGCCTGATGGATGACTCTTGGAGACGGATGTGTCTCATTGGAGAAGTCATATCCAGGGGGTGGGGGGAAGACCAGGGTCAAGGGGGAAATGTATGATGTGATTTAGTATCGGCTTCACCCACACACACACCAACATGGCAACTTCTAATAAACCAATTTACTTTTCTCTGAGATGTGGCTAGAGACTTTTGATTTGAATGAGGGTGGATTTGTTGGAGCCCTGACACACAGAACCGGTAGTAAAAAAATTTGAATCCCACCACTGGTATGTACATATGCAACACCATACTCTCCCCCCGCTCACCGCCATTGCTGTCAGTCCACAGGGCTGGAAGCATTGGGGACCACTGTCCTGGATCATATCTGTAGGAAAAGAATAGGTAGAGCTAAAGGAGGGAGTTAAACACATCATCAGTTAAGAGTCCTTACATTGCCACAAGTGACCCAAGTCCAGCCCTCCTTGAATTTGTTGATTCTTATCTAGCACCAATTTAGCACTGGCCATTAGTTGACTGGATTCTTATTCATAGGCTTAAATAGTGAATCTTATCTGTTACAATTTAGCATGTAATCCTGATCCTTTGCACCTGACAATCAAGCACTAAAACTTGATTTAACTAAAACCCACTTATTTGATTTCTCTTCCTTGCAGTCAGAGTCTCCTCTCATGGTAAAGCCATATCTGCCCTATGTTACCAAGTCTGAACTCCATGCTATCATGACAGCTGGATTTGCCACTATTGCTGGAAGTGTTTTAGGAGCATATATTTCATTTGGGGTAAGAATGGAAGCACAGTAATTGATAATGATTATTTTATCTTGCTTGTACTCAGGAGTTTGTGCTGTTAAACATGATTGGTTTTCATAAGGATGTTTTGCTTCATTAGGTTGTTGTTTTTCCTCATTCCTTGAAGCTACTTTAACCCTAATGATACAGCTGTCTTCTGTCAGGTTGATGTCTTTTCGCTACTGAGTGTTGACATTGTGGCCACCGAATTTGCTCTGGGTGTCTATGATTTCCAGAGCTTTTCTAGACTTCTTTCTTTAATTAAATTTCCCTTTTTTCATACAAAACTCTGCCTGTCCTTTAAAAACTTGTTGGCCTCCATTTTTACATGGAGATATATAGAAATAAGTGAGAAGAAGAGATGCATTCATATAATTCCAATATTGCAATATACACTGCTCAAAAAAATAAAGGGAACACTTAAACAACACAATGTAACTCCAAGTCAATCACACTTCTGTGAAATCAAACTGTCCACGTAGGTAGCAACACTGATTGACAATCAATTTCACATGCTGTTGTGCAAATGGAATAGACAACAGGTGGAAAGCATAGGCAGTTAGCAAGACATCCCCAATAAAGGAGTGGTTCTGCAGGTGATGACCACAGACCACTTCTCAGTTCCTATGCTTTCTGGCTGATGGTTTGGTCTCTTTTGAATGCTGGGGGTGCTGTCACTCTATTGGTAGCATGAGATGGAGTCTACAACCCACACAAGTGGCTCAGGTAGTGCAGCTCATCCAGGATGCCACATCAATGTGAGCTGTGGCGAGAAGGTTTGCCGTGTCTGTCAGCATAGTGCCCAGAGCATGGAGGCGCTACCAGGAGACAGGCCAGTACATCAGGAGACGTGGAGGAGGCCGTAGAAGGGCAACAACCCAGCAACAGGATCGCTACCTCCACCTTTGTGCAAGGAGGGACAGGAGGAACACTGCCAAAGCCCTGCAAAATGCCCTCCAGTTGGCCACAAATGTGCATGTGGCTTCTCAAATGGTCAAAAACAGACTCCATGAGGGTGGTATGAGGGCCCGACGTCCACAGGTGGGAGTTGTGCTTACAGCCCAACACCGTGCAGGACATTTGGCATTTGCCAGAGAACACCAAGATTGGCAAATTCGCCACGCGTGCCCTGTGCTCTTCACAGATGAAAGCAGGTTCACACTGAGCACATGTGACAGACGTGACAGGGTCTGGAGATGCCGTGGAGAATGTTCTGCTGCCTGCAACATCCTCCAGCATGACCGGTTTGACAGTGGGTCAGTAATGGTGTGGGGTGGCATTTCTTTAGGGGGCCGCAAACCCTCCATGTGCTCACCAGAGGTAGCCTGACTGCCATTAGGTACCGAGATGAGATCCTCAGACCCCTTGTGAGACCATATGCTGGTGCGGTTGGCCCTGGGTTCCTCCTAATGCAAAACAATGCTAGACCTCATATGGCTGGAGTGTGTCAGCAGTTCCTGCAAGAAGAAGGCATTGATACTATGGACTGGCCCGCCCGTTCCCCAGACCTGAATCCAATTGAGCACATCTGGGACATCATGTCTCACTCCATCCACCAATGCCACATTGCACCACAGACTGTCCAGGAGTTGGGGGATGCTTTAGTCCATGTGTGGGAGAAGATCCCTCAGGAGACCATCCACCACCTCATCAGGAGCATGCCCAGGTGTTGTAGGGAGGTCATACAGGCGCGTGGAGGCCACACACACTACTGAGCCTCATTTTGACTTGTTTTAAGGACATTACATCAAAGCTGGATCAGCCTGTAGTGTTTTTTTCCACTTTAATTTTGAGTGTAACTCCAAATTCAGACCTCCATGGGTTGCTAAATTTGATTTCCATTGATAATTTTTTTGTGATTTTGTTGTCAGCACATTCAACTATGTAATGAACAACGTATTTAATAAGAATATTTCATTCATTCAGATCTAGGATGTCTTATTTTGGTGTTCCCTTTATTTTTTTGAGCAGTGCATGTTTTATTACAACTTGTAAAACAACTTTTTTTTCAACTCATCCCTAAAGCTTGCTGACTGGGAAATTTTGGGAACTAAAGCCCACACTGACTTCAAGTGGCTGAGGTTGAATAATACTGTCCTTATGTAAAAACTAATTTGTTTTCATTTGTCAGGTTTCAGCTTCCCATTTATTAACTGCTTCCGTGATGTCCGCACCAGCAGCTTTAGCTGTTGCTAAACTCTTCTGGCCTGAGACTGAAAAACCCCAGATAAATGCCCAAGAAGATACAAAAATGGAAAAAGGGTAAGCAATTTATATGTTCATATTATATTTTCATGGCTGCTGGACTCCATAGAGTTCATCTATGGACAATACGGTTAATTGAAACTAGAAGAAACATACCTGGGGAACACAAATTCGCTTTTGATTGATTTCGGCAAAGTCATCTATAATGAAAAGAACTGGTAATATTGCCATCATTCCCATGCCAACAAGATGCTGCGCCTCAGACAGAAGTTCAAATATCAACTGAAATTTATTCCCATTATTCCCCGACTGTAAGAAGAAAAAGGAGCAGCTGGTGAATTCAGGGGTGGGATTCAAATTTTTTAACAACCAGTTCTGTGGGCGTGGCTTAGTTGGTGGGCGTGGCTTGGTGGTATGTGACTGGGCAAACATGACTTGTGGTCATGTTATTGGCTGGGCGTGGCCAACTCAATATCACTCACATTGAGGCACATATCTCCTTGTCTGGCCTTTCATGACTGTGGGGGTGCTGCAACAGTCGTAAGTGTGAAAAATGGTCATACGTCACTATTTTGAGTGCCATTGTAACTTTGAATGGTCACTCCACACAAACAAAGTACCAGCAAAGGAGGGGAAAAAAACTCCAGAGAAGTTCCAGAGATAGAAAGTCTGGTCCTACCAAGAATGTAATAAGAGTTAATGGAGAGGCAGTTTCTGTAAGCAACACCAGAATGTTTCCTTCCTGCCTTCCTTACAGGATTAGGCCAGTAATTTCTTCTAAGAACCAGTTCTCCGAACTGCTTAGAATATTAACAACCGGTTCTAGTGAATAGGTGTGAACTGGTAGAATCCCACCCCTGGCTGAATTGCGAGTTTTCAATGTCGCTATTTGAAAACCCAAAGCATTAGTCAGAAAGAATTAAAATTCATAACTCCCATAATCTGAGAACTTTTAAATAAGTTCTCTGGTAACCATAAACTCACTTAGCACGAATATGATTCACTTCCTAATTTGCAGACAATGAGTGTGATCAAATAATTCATCAATATCTAATAATGATAATCAATTATTAATTAACCTTGATTAACAGCTGTTTGAAGTTATTTATTCTGTTCCTTTCACTGTAGGATCAAGTGAAGAATGTAGGATGTTAAAGATCTAATTCCTGTTTAAAGTCCCCTTAAGGGCTTTTTGCATTCATAAAAGGCTATATCAGTGTAAAAAATTATTAACAATATTAAATATTACTTCTATTATTCTGGTTGCTAGCCCTCCTAATATTTTAAAAAGGATGAATGCTGTTATTGTAAGGGAAAGATTGTTTTGATTGTTTGGTTGTCTGGGTTTGTACTTTGAGCCATATACAAATGTCACACTAATGTGTACCTTTTCTTTTGCTGCTGAAGAGAAGCTAGGAACCTGTTGGAAGCTGCCAGCCAAGGTGCCAGTGCTGCCATCCCACTGGTAGCCAACATTGCTGTGAATCTGATTGCCTTCCTTGCTTTGCTGGCCTTTTTTAATGCAGTCCTGTCTTGGCTGGGGAACATGTTCGACTACCCACAACTGAGCTTTGAGGTATTGTCCTATTAGCTTTTAGCTCAAGCAAGAGGCATGGGAGATGCAGCCTTGACCTCACTTCAGCCTACTATTAAGAGAATATATGAAATTGTAGGTTATGCCTTAAGATAGGGGTGGACAACCTTGGCAACTTTAAGACATACGGACTTCGACTCTCAGCATGGCTGGCTGAGGAATTCTGGAAGTTAAGATCCACAAGTCTTAAAGTTGTCAAGGCTGGACACCCTGCCTTAAGATATTTGTGTTTCCCTGCACTGATATATCTACTGTCTGCTAAGAGTGATTGGAAGAAGACACTCTTCTGAATACTAAAGTATTTGATCAAGCACTTTTCTGTAACAGAGTCTGCAAAAAAAAAAAATTACATTGTTGTGATTTTAAAATAGAATATTTGTGCAAGAGATAGAAAGATGTCTGTACTTCAGTGTGACTAATTCTGGATTTCCTTACATGGGCCCAGGAAGGAGGGGCAGCTGAAGGGAATAGATAAAGCACCAAAACCAAATCAGCACAATGATTAATTAACATGTTATACAAACTAAACTACTGGTAAGGAGTTCAGTGCCCAAAATACATGGAAGTAAATGGCTACTTCGTGCCATTTACATGCCAAAAATCATGTAGTGAGTTTGCATTTGGCTTGTGTTTTAATTTTCTACTGCTGAGATCTAAATAATGAATGGGACCTGAATAAGGCGTGTGTGTATGTGTGTGTGTGCTGTGTACACACATGCATAGACATATATACAGGCGGGGGTGGTATTCAGCCGGCTCAGGCTAGTTCAGGTGAACCGGATGTTAAATTTACATCTGGTTTGCCAAACTGGTAGTTGAACAGATCAGCTGGCCCTGCCCACCCCACCCTACTCCTCCCAGGAGTCTCTACACAGCCCATTTTGGATGCAGGTAACGCAGGGTCCACACAAAGGCTCTGGGAAAGTGAAAAATGGCCCTCCCGAAAGTTCCGGAAGTCTGGAAGCCAGCGTGTTACCAGCTTCCGGAGGGCCTCCCGAGCCTGGGGGAGACTGATTTCTCCCTTCCAGAGGCCCAAGGGAAGCCTCCAGACTTGGGGAAGGCGAAAAATGGCCTTCCCAGAAGTTCCATGCCCACCATGACCACGCCCACCCAGCAACTGGGCAGAGAACTGGTTGTTGGGTTTTTTGAATCCCACTCCTGCATACATGTAGTCCCCAACGTATGAACTCAATGGAGCCCAGAATTTCTGTTGCTAAGCGAGGCAGTTTTTAAGTGAGTTTTGCCCCATTTTATGATCTTTCTTGCCATAGTTGTTAAGCGAATCACTGCCGTTGTTAACGTGGTTGAATCTGGCTCTCCCATTGGCTTCGCTTGTCAGAATTTCACAAAAGGTGATCACATGACCTGCAGACACTGCAAACATCATAAATACATGACAAGTGCCAAGCATCCAAATTCTGATCACGTGACCATGGGGATGCTGCAACGGTCCTAAGTTTGAAAAACAGTCATAAGTCACTTTTTTCACTGCCATTGTAACTTTGAACAGTCACTAAACAAGTTGTTGTAAGTCAAAGACCAACTGTATATCTGAAAGAAAAAAATCCTGCTTGTATCCAGGTGGTCTTGACAAATAAGTCACACAAATTCTGTATCTTGCATTTTACAGATAAAGGCACTACTTCTATGTATCTGCTGTTAGGTTAATATCCCCAGATCATTTGTATGAAAATTGGGTCTACAACTTGAGGCTTCAAAGTCACATCCCGGTAACTTCCACAGGTGTATACTATCATTTGATGTAATCATTATTATGATTAAGCTTATGGAAATGTATAATTAAAGTTGTTGCCAAACTTAGCTTTTCTAAGTCACATAAGGCTACCAATCTTAAATATATAAACAGAATGGAATTATATTAATTAAATTTACACATACATGAAATAAAACCTGACCCCACCTTTGAGTCCCATATAATCTCTCAAAAGCCATGAAAAATCAGGTGTACTTCTGTTAAACAAGCCTAGAAAAACAGATTCCCACTTCAGCAAAAACTGCTGATTAATCTACAATCAGTTAACATATTCACAATGAGCAAGAAATGATCAGACGGAAAGGAAGGGAAAAGAACTGGATGTCTCTCCCTGCTTTAACTGTGTGCTATGAGCAGATGGGTCTAAGATGCAACTATAAATAAATAAATAGGGAAATGATCACATGGACGAAAAGGGAAGAATTAATTCATTACAGGTTGAGCCAATTATTTATGTATTATTAGGGCATGCCTGAATGCAGAACCTTCTGCATTAAAGTGCTTCCACTTAATGTAACATATGGTACCATGGAAATGATAAATGGGTGAGAAAAACAACATTTAGAATGGCAAAAAGGAAAGGAGGGGTTCAATTCCCATCGAGATCAAAAACAATACCACTTTAAGCATAGAAGAAAAATATGGCTAGCTACATGCAGATGCTTACCTTGGAAGCAGCCACAGTCCTGATGCAGTTAAAGAAAAGAGTAATGGATTGCTTAACAATCTAATGAAGCTTCATCTATCTAGCTACAAGAGACCATTTATAAAAGCACTCAGTGAGGAGGTTATTAATGCAGTAAACAAAAGAGATACAGCTGGCCTGGACAGTTTCCCAAGAGATTTTTTTTTTCCTGATTTCTAATGGAGCATAAAGGGAACACAGATACTTTTTGGGCATAATATTCAACCTAGTTGAGAGTGGCCCCAATTGCCTGATAGGCAAAGAGATCCTAATTAGTTCAAACATGGCTCCTTCCAGCCTTCCTGCCTCACTTTGAACATTTATTTGAAAAATTATGTTCCATTCCAATTCAGAGACTCCAGGTAGGATAAAAAGAAACTTGAACCCTCATCTTCCGTCCCAAGCCATGTTACAGATTTTATTCTCCTGCGTAAGTTTTTAATGCTTATTTAACAGCCCAGAATAATTTTTCCCCCCAGTGGCTCAGAAATATCAAATCATTTTACCTTTGAGCAAAAGGCAATGAAGGAATTCAGTGGGTATTTCCTTTTAGCCAATCTGAAAGAAAATAATTCCTTCAATCTACTGAAGCAGATTTTGAGGTTTCGAGAATGTGGAGAGTTAAGCAATGCTATGACTGCCCTTTCTCAGTGCTTAGAGTTTGTGGAGATCTGGATAGGGAGCAATGCATTAAAATTGAGCCCTGGCAAGATAGAGTAGCTTTGAGTGACACTTTGGATGGTATTTTGGTACCATCTTTGGTGATGGATGAGGTTGTACTGTCCCAGGCAATTGTGCATCCCATCTATTATTCTAACGCCATCCTATCAATAGGATAAAAGACAGTAGTGGCTAACTTTTTTGGGCTCTTGTGCCAAAAATTGCTCGTGTACACATGCTCGCGTGCCAGCATCCAGAAGGAAATGTGCCCCAGGGCCTCTGCACATGCATGCGTGATTTCCCCGCCTTACCTGCACTGCACCTCCCAGCTGATTTTTGGCCTGTTTGAGGCCTTTTCAGCCTTCCAGAAGCTCAAGGGAAGTCTCTGCAGCCTTTGGAGGCCGAAAAATAGGCCCATTTCATCACTTCCTGTATTTCCAGAAATACAGGAAGTGATGAAACGAGTGTGGATTTTGGCCCCCAAAGGCTGCAGAGGCTTCCCTTGAGCTTCTGGGAGGCCAAAAATCAGCTGGGATGCACATGCATGCGCAGTGAGGTAAGTTTGCCTGGGGCTTGCGTGCCCGCACAAATGGCTCTGCGTGCCACCCTGTGGCACATGTGCCATAGGTTCGCTATCACGGCTCTAAGAACTGTACCCACCATTAACACTTATCTGGTGTCTTTTTCTCAATTGTCTTAGGCAAGAAACAAAAGACTTTAGCATGGGAATTATCATCATCATCTTCTTTTAACGACCCCATAATCCCTTGCAGGGTGGAGTCTGGGCAACTGAATGGAGTTAACAGAGTGTTTTACTGGCCGGATGCCCTTTCTGTCTCCGATGTGGAGTTTTGTTCAACAGATATATTTTCATTGTGCCCAGAGAGAGAAATATCTGTCTCTAGATAGGATCAATCTCACAGCCTCCTGATTGTGAGGAGAGAGCTCCGCCTTCAGGCCACCGTACCACTCTCCGTTAGCATAGGAATGAGTAAATTAATTTAGAGTTAAACTAAATTGGTAGGAAAGAATTAAGTTTTTTCCCTCTAAATTGGGATCTCTTTCACTATTTTGGGTAAAACAACTAACTCTGTTCAAGATGTAGAATTCCACAGTGTAGCTTGACTTTCTGGCAATCCTTTTAACTTGATGATCTTGCAAGTAGTATTCTTGTGATATAATATTGATGTAATAATGTTTTCCTATTCATTCTCTCCACTCAATGTATAATTTTGCAGATTCAATCATCAATCTCCTGAAAATAGGGGACAGTTTTATGTTATTCTTGGATCTAAACCAATTCCCAGGGCCATTTAAAGGGTTTTAATTTTTTTATTTCATTTATATTTTTTCCTCTTTCTGGATTAAAGATGTGGTGTCCATAATAAATAGGCTTTTTAACCTTGAGAGTGCATTGTTAGATAAAAGTTTTAGCTGATAACAATACATTTTAGACATACTGTATTTATTGCCTCTACAAATTCTCTCCAAGAATTTGCTTGTGTGATCAATGTCAATAGGCACTCAGTAAGGTTTATAGCTCACATTTCTCTTTGTTCTTGTTTTCTCCCTTATAGATAATCTGTTCATATCTGTTCATGCCATTTTCTTTTATGATGGGAGTAGATTGGGAAGACAGCTTTATTGTTGGTGGGCTCCTTGGTTATAAGACTTTCTTCAATGAATTTGTGGCTTATGAACACCTTGCAAACTTGATTAAACTACGCAAGAAGGGAGGACAAATGTACATCAATGGTATGAAACAGTACTTAAGTGTAAGTATTCCTGTACAACTCTTCAATAGATCTAATACTTCATAGATTTTTGTTCAGTCGGCTTTCCTAGAACGTATTTCTGAATGACTAAGTGATTAAGCGACTAAGTTAGGTATGTGTTCCTATGGATGTGAAGCCATAATTGATATAAATATATTTGTAATATCATTTTCTTGTGGTTCATAATCCAAGTTATGCCTTGGTTGTATTTAATAATGTTGTCTATCAACCAAATGAACATTGATGTATGACTTTAGCACTGAAGCAGAGTAGAGGTCAAAGAGAAGGAGAATTCTGATTTATTAGTAATCAATAAGACACAATATTGGAGGGAACCTAATGTTCTTGTTAAGAACCATTGTAAACAAGGAATGAGATAAAACAGCTTTGCCTTAGACCTAATTTTTTACAGTACTTTAAAAGGACCATTGGCAAGGAATGGGAAATTTTCATATTTGGTTTAAGGGCATCAGAATAGTCTTTTCTGGGAATTTACATTAGACATCTTCAATAGTTATGGATAAAATTATAACTTCAGTTCTTGGATCTGTGTTGTGCCAAAACAGGAGACCAAAGACATGTGTTTTTATTTCCTAATTCAAAAATAGAAAGAAAATCTTTGAAATTTAAACTAGGCGAAAGGATTTTTCACAACTGGAAAGTTTTACTGAGGTTTAAAAGTAAATCTAGCTATGTGTAGTAAAATTTGGCTGCGTGCAGCATGAACTACAAGTTGCAAATGTGTTTTCCTGATAATATATAATGTGTTATAAATTAGTGATGGGGGAGATTATTGAATGATATTTTTTTTCAGAAACTTCTGCAAAGCTGCAAATATAATCAGGAATTCATGTTCGTACAATCTCACATCACTAGTTCATCAGCTAAGCTAATTAATTTTCATTGCAGCTAAAGTGCAAGAGGGAACACATTGAATGAAACCAGTTTTCTAGCAGAATCTCTGTTGCTCTAAAGTGTTAGGAATAGGCAGTTTTACCACAGGTAGGATCTTTAGTTTTTAGTTTTCTGTCAGATCCTAGGCCCTCCAATTCCCTCTACCAAGTTTTAAGTCCCTTTAATTAGTAGAGGAGAGGTGACTTTTCCGCTACCCAAACTCATTATGAATAACACCCCAAATAAGCTCTAGTTATATATCAGTTTGTGCATCCTGCTTTATTTATTTATTTACTTACTTACATACTTACTTACTTACTTACTTATTTATTTTGTCACGTGATTATAAGATAACAGGTATAAGTATAAACATAGTTATGAATACACGAAATGGATACATATAAGAAAAATTTAAAAAAGAAACAATAGGACTGGGACAGTAGGAACATTGGTGCGCTTATGCACACCCCCTACAGACCTCTTAGGAAAGGGGTGAGGTCAATAGTAGACAGTCTAATCAATTATAATCAATTAGGAGGGTACATTAACTGCTATGAATGACATCTCTCTGGTTTAAGTTCGAGGGAAGTGCAGATCACGGGTCAACTTAAAACTTTCTGAGGTAGTGGTGGAAGGATGAAAAGACCAAATCGCTAAGGCTCCAGTTCTACTACTGTGTATTCAGCTGACACATTGAGAACAGCAGGAAAGAGAAGTGAGAATTTGCTCTCATATATCTGCTGTCCTTCAATTAAGATGACACTTTTAAATGAATTCATTGGGGGGGGAAGCAAATTTGTTATTAGCAATACAGCTTTTGTAATATGGATTTTATAATAAGTTTTGGGGGAAAATAATGAAACTAAAATATTTATTATGTTTACAAAACAAAACCTGACTACTATATTCATTCATGTTGTGGATTCACACAGTATATTGAATCAGTAAATGGCCTGGGATACAACATATTAGTTGTCCCCCCACCACACAAAAACCAACCCTAACCAAGTTTAATACTTTGTAGGAATACAATTGCTAGACCATTAAACCTGCCCCAATTAATCTGAGTTCTAGTCCATTAGGAATTTCATTCCTAATATTTTTTCCATAATCGTGATAGTTGTGTGGTCTAATTGGAGGAAATATTCAGGAACATATTTTGCACTTTATTGTTTGAAAAACTTGCAAAGTCTTTTTACACATAATCACAGGATAATGGGAAGCTGTGATTCTCTCAAATAATTTCATTTTTTAATTTTTTTTTGTCTTTAAGATATCATATATACTACTAAACCTACTCATTCTTGAAAACCATATGCAAAGTGACATCAGTTTTGCACAAAATTCAAATGTGTGCATGCTTAGAATTGACACACTGTGCACATGTTCCGTTTTCTACTAAGAAATGTTTTTGACACAAAATAGCTGGCACATCTGAAATAGCCCTTGGCAATTAAGTATTACATTTGTTTGCTAATGGATTCAGACATGCCAGTGTTGAAATTAGCTACATTTTGAGAAATTCTAGCCACTTATCAGGAAACTATCAACATGATAGAAAAAAACTTTGTGTGTGTATGTATAAATCTAGTCATGGGAACCAAATATTCTATGTGATAAATATATAAAGGGTATGAAAATATTCTATTTCTGGTTTCTTCTAATATGCAATTCTTTGTAGTGGGGAAGGGGGGCATGGAGAAAGTCCAAATTTATTCTCATTCCAAAACCATACAAACATTATATCATTATTGTATGTTCAAATGCCATTAGCCAGAAACTAAAAACTATTTTAGTCAATCTCTTTCTATAAAGAGGAAGTAATTGGTCTTCTATTTGCTTTATTTCAGATACGATCTGAAACAATTGCCACTTACGCGCTTTGTGGATTTGCAAATTTTGGTTCAGTGGGCATGGTACTTGGAGCACTATGTAAGAATCATGTATACTTCTTTTTAGAGAAGAACAGGCAGTACTGGGGCAGAGTTGCGCTTCATCAGCTTAGAATCATTACCTTGCCACAAATGGTCTAAATCCAACCCCTCTTGAATTCTGTTGACCTCTATTGGGCGCCAATATAGTATTGAGCTTTAGTTGACTAGACACTTGTGTATAGACTTCAGCAGTATATCTTTTTTGAATTGCAACTTCATGTATGATCCTGATCCTTTGCATTTACCACATACAGAGGAATTTGAAAAACTAGTGTCTATTTTTAAAACAAGATCTTTTGCTGTGATGAACAATTGTTCACCTTTGGAGATTGTAGAGTAATAAAAATTACTGACTTTTTCAGCACTGCAAAAGCATTCCAAGCATAAAACTCTTGTGTTTTATGGATAACAGAGCCATTCAAACACTTTGATGCACAAAAACTCATTAACCTGCCTCTAACAGAGGTTTGTAACCTTGGACAAACCTCTGTTATCATCCGGATTGGTCCAAAATTAGCAGATTTGCTCCAGAATTAAGCAAGTTTCTCTTGTTTATATGTAATTTTATCCATTTAAGATGAAAATTGAAATAAATATTGAAATAGTTTCAGTCTGGATAATATTCAAAATATTCTGCTTTGTATATTATCTAGCAGAAGTAAATGATTCCAGAGTTAACATTTAATATAATTATGTATCAAAATGATTGGTTGATCTAATATTAGTGCTTTGAGGCTGGGGAACTCTTATTAAAATGCACCTCAATCTTTAAAAAAATAAATTAGTCTTAAGCCTGTGTTTTTAGCCTCTCTTGGGGTCAATCAGTATTTTATAAATTCAGCATCTAAAGCATTTCGGATCTGCAGAGCAACAACAGCCATTGCCTAGATAAGATTGGACACTGGAAAATAGTGTCCTTGTTTATCTAGAGTTGGTATTATTTGGAAGATTATATTTCATAATATTTGAATTGCTTTACAAGTAAGAATGGGATGTGTCCCATTTCAACAGCAAATCTGCTGCCTCACATGAGCTCCTCCAAGACAGTTCAAAGCTTTTTGAGTATTCTCTCAAAAGTGTAGCTTTGCCCAGCCTATGCAGATCTTCATTATCTCATTCATATCTGTACTGGGGGCAAAGATCTGTATTATATCTTCACTTTCTGAAAGTTCAGGATGTTCAAAAGACTCTTTTCCATTGCCTTTCTCAGTGTTTCTTCCACATGAGATTTCACTTTATATTCTCTCATAACATGAATAGTAGAATTTATGGAGGATGAGCGATGAAGTTTTAGAGATGGCCCTATTTTTCTTTCTCATAAATTTACAACCCTGTGAAAGAAAACATTCAAAAGTAGTTCCAATTAGCATCAGCTGCAAAATATTTCAAAAATACTTCAGGTTAAGTTCAAGAGCTGGCAAGATATTTTCTTACGACTAAGTGACTATAGGTATAATCCTATCAATCATGGCTAGCATTGAAAAATAAGCATATTTCAGCTCTTCCAAACTGGGCAGGGGAACAGATCTTTTCAAGAAGATATTGACACAAGTATATGGCCATCTTATGTCTGCTGTCATAATTGAATAAACGCTAACTTTTCTACAGATAGAGAAATGTTGTTTGGCAGTGGTGAACCTTAAAGCATAGGCGCCATGGGGAAATATTAGAGAGGGAATTGGTTCACCCTGACTCTTGATTGCTAACCCTGGTTACCATCCTGCAAGTTTGCAAAGGAGTCTGATAAACACACTCCATCCTCATAATGCCTTAATGCCAAAATAATTTGAAACATTCAAATATCAGGATAATGCCAACCAGACTAAAGATTGAAATTGGAAGGATTTTGGGATAAGAAGACTGATTAGCTGGAAATGCCATGAAACATTCAGAATGGTGTCCTCAAACAAAACTGTAGATATTCATACTCGTTTATACATATCAGGGAACTAAAAGAGGGGAGTGTTAAGAAAAGCCATAAAACAGAAATTCCATATTGATTCATCAAAAACTTAGTATAAACTGTAGTTTATCTCAGTGTTCTAGCAAATGAACTCCAACCCACAAAACTCAGAGACAGGCATTTTTTCAAAGTTCCATTTTATCTGACAGTCATACTGGCACATCTGTGTTGTGGTTTGCCAGCAGCAGGTGCGGATGGCTGAGGTCTCGGAGAGTGAGGACTCAGATGAGGAGCCTGCGTGTGATGTAGGGATGAGGCCAGGACCATCAGGGAGTGGAGTGATTGTGGAGGCTGGCAGCAGTGATTCAGAGAATCCCAAGGAGTCTGTGCCCAGTAAGTGTGAGTGCAGGGCTGCTCGTAGGAAAGAGCAGCTGCAGCAGCACAGGCAACTTGAAAGTAAGGTTGCAAAGTAATGGCCCCTCCCTTAAGAGAAAAAAGCCAGCCTGAGAGATGGGTATTCTTTGCAGGAAGCAAAGAAGTTCTTGCACTTCAAGCCTTGTAGAAGTTCAGACTATCCTGGTTTGCATTTGAAGACTTTTTGTTTGGAATATTTCTTGGCAACTTAATCTCGTGCTTTTGGCAGCCTTGCACAACCTTGGCAAGTCTCGTTCATATCAGGGACAATTAGTTTTAATAGCCTTTTAAGTGTGAATTAATGGAATTCGCAGAGAAGCATTAAAGGGTTTTGCTTTTATCGCTGTTTGGTGTTTGTTTACTTGGAACAAGGTTTGGGTCAGAACAATCTGGGAAAACTTGAATCTGAAGCTTCCAGTTTTCCCTTAGTAATTGAAAGGTCAAAATCCCATCCCCTGCATGCATCAGTCCAACACATGACCCAGTAGGCATCAGTCCCACTGAAGACAATTCTCCAACCACTCCTTCTCCAGGTGCAGGGTGACATGACCTTGACTGGGGAAGAAGAATGCTATTATGGCTAACTATCCCCACTCTATGAATGCCCCCCTCCCATTTTCCCAATGTGAACGTGACACTATAGAAGCTCCTCAGGCTAATATGGCTTCCAAGGCTGACAGCTTGTTAGTAAATAAAGAGTACCATATCACTTTTAAAGGAGATGAATGGAAAGCAATTGCACAGACTTCGAAGAGGCCAAAGGAACACAGAAAGAAATGTACTTTCTATTATGTCAGTATACTATATAATATTTATGAGAAGTTGACTAATTATTGTATTAATTTGGTGATGGGAATTAAAGGCAAGGAAAACCTATATAGATTCAGGGACAGAGAAATAAATTCTGCATGATTTTATCAAGTGAACTTTCATTTGAAAAGATATTACCAATATCATTTATGGTTATCTAAACCACATCTATCCTAAGTAGCAAGAATCTTTACTGAAGCTGTTCCAGAGATTATAAAAGGGTTAGAAAAGCCCCGAATAGATGTCTCAACATTGCATATTGCTCACTTGTTTTTTTTTTCCTTCTATTCATGTCTCCAGCATCCTTGGCTCCCTCCAGGAAGAGAGACATTGCGGGAGGAGCCTTCAGGGCCATGATTGCTGGCACTGTGGCCTGCTTCATGACAGCTTGTGTTGCAGGTATTGTAACATTACATGCCACCATTTCACATGTTATGTTTGACATGATCCAGGTCTTTTATGCCTCACGGGGGAAATTGAACTCCCCCACTGAAACCAGCGGAGTTTCTAGAAAGACTTAAATTTGATATAATTGTGCTTCAGTGATATCATTATTTGATTTTAAATAGAAAGAAGAAAAATTCCAGATTAACTGTTGATTTGATAGCAATTATAATAGCTTAGATTTGGGGGGAAAAGTTGAAGGGAGGGACTTTCCCTTCTATCATCTCCCAGAAGCCTTTTGAAGATCTTTCTACATAGACCTCAGCCTCTTCCCTTATAGTCTCTGTCACAATTTTCTTCTCTATGCAAGTGCTCTGCTCCATCTTTCCATTTAACCAGGGAATGCAGCTGGTGTTTCATCTTTCTGTCTCCAAAAAGTTGCTGATGAAGGAAGCAACTAAGTCATCCTTCAAAAACTGGAGAAAATTGTGACACTATAGAAGAACCTTCGATTTAAGAAGCAGGGAGGAGATTCTGGAAAGCAGAGATAGTTAAAAGTTCTCACTTGTGGGAGAACTACTGTTCCAGAAGAAATGCTACAAAGCTGTGGTTGTTATTTCGTGCCGTTTCCCAAGTCCTACATGTGCCCCACATTATTATGGCATCATAGTGCAGATCAATGCATCCCCTCTGTGTGAAAGGCTCTGAATCCTCTAGGACAGTGGTTGCCAACCGGTGGGCTGTGAGAAAATTTTGGTGGGGCGCAGAGAAATCTCACTCCCAGAGTACCCCACAAAGCAATTAATCCAGGCTGCACAGAAACACAAGGCTGAGCTGCCCACATGGCCCACGGGAAACCTCCCCGCCCACTCACTCCTTACCCGGTAAAGTTGCCTGCTAAATTGCTATTTTTCCTTTTTCCGACCATCATCTGTTCTGCTGTGCCAGGAGATTTAGATTAGCTAGGAAACAGGAAATGGATGGATTTATTGCTTTCTAGCTAATCTTTAGATCTTTGACTGAGCACAGCCGAATCTCCCTTAGGACTGAAGCTTTGCTTGCAAGCAAATTCAGTGCAGACTCACGGCAAGCAAATTTGAGAGACTGAGCTTGCTGATGGCAGATAGATCACTGAATGATTCTGTGAGCAACTCAATTTGCCTGCTTTGCCTGATTTTGGGTAAAAGTTGCTCTTTTTTTAAATAAAAATTCAATATTTACATGCATGGTGTGTTGTGAGTTAATTTTGTGACTTTGCTTGCAAGCACATTTTATATGACAGACTGAGCTAGCCAATGGCAGATAGATAGATCACTGAATGAATCTGTGATTCTGTGAGCAACTCAGTCTGCCTGCTTTGCCTGATTTTGGATAAAAGTTGCTCTTTTTTTATTAAAAAAAATCAATATTTATATAAATATTTATAATATTTACATACAAGCCATGCCCAGCCAGTCACATGACCACCAAGCCACACCCACAAATTAGGCCATGCCCACAGAACTGGTTAGTGGTCCCTGGGATCTAAAATTATGAGTTTGGTGGTCCCTGAGGTCCAAAAGGTTGGCGACCCCTGCTCTAGGAGCCTCTTCCAGGAATTATCTTCCTTAAATGGAAGGGAGGAAATGGAAGGCAAAGCAACTATCAAAAATTGGGTAAAGAAACTTATAAAACAAAGTTCTTAAATCGAACAACCTTATGAAAAACAGAAATGAAGTAAAGGTCAGTGTCTCAGTGAATTTGTTGCCATAATCCAGAGGTATCATTTCTTAATACAAATATCTTTTCTGACCCTTTTTCAGGTATACTATCTGAAAATCCATGTACAACGTTATTACAAAGCAACTTCAGTGCGAATGACAATAGCACAGAAATAGTTGCTTGCTGTTTAAACCTCTTTACCAGGTAATTAGATCAGAATCTCGCGCCATAGAGATCATGTGTGAAGTCAAACTGCTTATTGATAGTAGATACTCCAAGAACACTGTATGTGAAATGAACTATAATATATAAAAATATGGCATAATAATATTTCAGAAGTTCCTGGTGATAGCTTTTTTTAAGGGTTATAAAAGGCTGATTTTTTAAAAAAATGCTTCTCTACTTCTCTACTGTTCAAGACACAGTAATTTGTATTTGAACACCTTTGTCTTAGTTTGTATAGTTTTTGAAGATTTATGGTAAATTTTTATTTTCATTGATGCATTTGCAATACATTAAGAATTCTCTAGTATCTATATTTGGAAATCTTATAGATCTATGATTAGTGAAAAATGCAGTTTATACCTTTTCTTTTTTCCAGTTAATATCCTTATTTTAAGCAACCTTACTCTAATTAAGTAGGAGACTAATGAACAAAGTCTTTTGCATGCACAGATTTTTTCCCACTGGCCAAATGCTAATTTAGGGAGAATGGGAACCTCTCAAATAAATCTGGCGAGTTTTGTTACATTTTCTAAATTTATTGTTCTGTTCTAGCTAATCTGAAATAATCATATCAGTTCATTGCCAATGACACAAGCTGTTGGTTGTGCAAGAACTTTTTGAAAATATTATTCATAATAGACATTTTATCCATTGCATTTTCTGTTTTACAGTTTATAATAATGTTGTAATCCACTGATGAAATGTTAAGTATGATAAGTAATTTTATTCATATTCATATTATTATTATTTTAAAAAATCATTCACTTTTTTTTTTAATCAAACAGTGGCAACGGTTCTGCAGAGGTCTTCCCAAAATCTAACAGCGGTTTAGGATCCTTGCACCAATGTTGCCAACTGCTGGGCCCATCCAAGGTTAATTGCAGCTTGGTCACTCCATTATCTTAAGCTGTTTCATAGAATTCAAATTCATGGTGAATGAACAGAAAAGACAAGATGGAAATGGGGTGATCTTGTTGCTAATGTACACAAGGGAAAAAAACTTGTTTTCATTTAAACTGGAGTGATAGCCATCTGCACCCTCTATTTTCATAATGTTGCTGATGAAGGACATGTTGATATATTTGTAAGGAGAAAAAAAAAACTTGCACACACTGTATATCACAATTCACATTTAAGATTTTAAAAGACATTTGAATCTGAAATGACTTCCATCTTGGATTTATGGAAATAACTTGACAACACATCATAAGTTAAAAAGTCTGGTTTGCACCAATTCCCAGCTTGGATCACGTCGATGCAACAAGCCACTAAACTTGGTTAAAATGCAGCCTGTGATGCGATAAGATGGAGACAGGTTCCATCACATTAATTCAATTTGAACCCATCAGAGAAATATTCAATAATTATTTAAAATGACTCTACGTTTGCTTAATTTACACCTGTTTAGATACCTATCTTTGTTCTACTGAGATAAGATTGTTATTTTAATGTGATCCTAAGAATTAAGGATCAGAATGAAGCTGCTTCTTTTCCATGTATGGAGCTTATTTCCAAATCCAAGTCAGAAAACAAGCAACTAACAAACTAATGGAACTCCGCTTTGGTGTTATAGGATATAATAACAGAATTTCAAAATCTTGCCAGAGTTTCCCTCTAGGCTCTCTTGTGCCAACAAAATCAAATCAGGGCTATCTTGACTTTCTTTCCTACCCCTTCTTCTTTCCCAGAATTGAGTTGTTATTTACTTTAAGAGTTATGCACTGTTTATAATATAACTATGTACTGTATATCAATTATATAAAGTATATAATTTTTAAAAACTGGGAATATTTTCATTCAGATATTAATCAAGGAAAACCAGTTCCACTTGAAAATCAGCTTCCCATCACCACCACCATTCAAAAATGCATGGTCATGGGTATAAATTAATGAAATGTATAGGCACATAGGCACTTTTGTTGCTACAATATTAACAAAATATCGATTTAAGTATTATTATATGATCTATAAAAGAAAATACAGTTTGCTATTAGAATTTGTTCTACCAGATTCTTAAGGAAATGCAGGGGTAATACTAACCCAAATAATTAAATAAATATGCTCTGTTTCAGTTATTTTTATATATTTATCAATTTGTATTGCTGCCAGTCTTACAAAAAAGCAAGTCTAGAAGCACAACCCTCATCATACCAGCTAGATTGGCTGGATCTTCTTTTATTGCCCTGGACAGGAGAATGGAGTTAGTAGGTTAGTTAGTACTTCCAAAAGTACAACCAATGCCATTACCATCCCATAACTGGATCTGAATCCTGACTGAAAAGGATAATTCATTTCATCCATGATTCACTGAAACTAAAATCTGATCACCTTCTCAATCACCTTCCCCCCAAAGGAGAGGTTAAATACTGAATGAAAGTTGTCTTGCATAGAGGGGTCTAATAAGGGCTTCTTGAAGAGATGACAAACCAAGCAATGGTGGGATTCAAATTTTTTTACTACCGGTTCTGTGGGCGTGGCTTGGTGGGCATGGCAGGGGGAGGATACTGTAAAATCTCCATTCCCACCCCACTCCAGGGGAAGGATACTGCAAAATCTCAATTTCCTCCCCGCCCTACTAACTCTTTCCAGCTCCATTCTCCTGTCCAGGGTAATAAAAGAAGATCCAGCCGATCAACTGGGACTCAGGAGGCAGAAAATACATGGGGGCAGGGCCAGTCAGAGGTGGTATTTGCCAGTTCTCTGAACTACTCAAAATTTCCGCTACCAGTTCTCCAGAACTGGTCAGAACCTACTGAATACCACCTCTGAAACCAAGGCGTATTTAAGAGGTAAAAGGACAATTCCCTCATTCAAAGAAGTACTTTAAATTGTGAAGACTTAAACTCCCAGAATTCCAGAGCCAGACTGAATGTTGGCTGGGGAATTCTGGGAACTGAAGTCCACATAATTTCAAGTTGTTGAATTTGAAAAACATTGCAATGGAGATTTTGGTAGATCATAGTATCTATCCTGTTATTTCATGAATAAATACATGGAAATTGCCATGCATCAATAGATAACTTTGATCTTTTATTTTCCTTTTTTTAATAAAGAGGAACAAAGAGAAAAAGAAAAGAATTATTAATAGAAAGGAAAAGAGAAAAAAGAAAAATGTTTTTTAAATAAAAGTTTGGTTTTTTTAATTATTGTGTATTGCAATAGAACTTTGTCAAATTTCTGTTTTTAAAAAATGTTAAATGATTTATCTTAATAATATTTAAGCAGTCTTTTTTTTTAACCTTCAAAATATTTTCCAAGGGCATTTTGTACATTATTTTGGCAACATGGAAAACATGTTGATAAAATATATCATTCTGAAATCTGTATATATTGTAATGGTAACATTTAATTTTTAATAAAATTAATAAACTCTTTTCTACATGCATAGTTCTTTCTGATCATATAAAACTGCTGACCTCATTCCTTGAAAAAACATCTAATGGAAGTATTGTGTGTTTTTAAAAGGCAAGTTTAAGTTCATGTAGTTTAGTTGTGCCACAAAAAACATGCTATATATGAGTTCATGTGTGCATGCGAGAGAGAGGGGAGGGAGAGAAGGAGGAGGGTCTTATGAGATCAGAACATATATGTTTTCTATCCGAATAATCACAAGAACATGGTGGCAATAGAATTTGCTTTTCTGCAGCTGGTGGTATGTTATTTCTGATCCTAGAGACATATAACAATTATTGATATTCTTGTCATTCTGTATTTGTATGATCTCAGTGCAGTACCCTCCAGGTGTGATAGACTTCAGTTCTAGTAATTTTAAAATCTATGCTGTATTGTGGAAGTAGAAGTTTTCAGTACATCTAGAAAACATGTAGAAACAAAGGTAGTCTCGTGTCAGTCCTTCAAAGTAGGCCAGGTCAAGAAAGAGACTTCACAAGAACTGCTGCTATAGCATAAAATAAAAGAATCATAAAAGCCTGACAAATTTTATTTATCTTTCCCCTTCCCCTTTTATACTAAAGAGAATCAAGGTGGTGCAGTCTTAAGCTTCTTCCTTACTCCATACTCCCATTTGTGGCTTTTTTTGTGGCTGGGGTTTGTTGGTGTTGTGTTGTTGCAGTTAAATGTAATGACCAGGATTGTACACATGATTGCAGAAAATGAGGCACTTTAGATTTCCTTAAAGTTATTACAAATTCATTTGTTTAATTTTCCTGATGTTTCATAACATGGAATTTGCCTTTTTCCATTCACTCCAATAAAGGAGTGAACAGTGAATGAATTAATAGAAATTGTATTTTCATACAGGGATAGGGAAAGTTAAAAACCAATAAAACATTTTATCAGCCAGATTTTTGAAATAATGTTTTTCTATCCAGAGTTGCTATATGATAGCATAGATAAAATGCTATCTTAGTAATGTATACTAAGAAAATAACATAGTTTATATGAGGAATAAACTAGTTTTAATTAAAATCAATTCTTAACTTTCAAGTACAGCTAAATGACACTTTTTAATTTCTCACTGGTTTTGGAAAGATCTGAGCAATACCATTAGAAACCTGGACCTTAAAAGCATTTTGTGATACGTATTACACTTCCTCACAACAATTCATTATATGAACAAAAACAGTACAGTCTTTCTGTGCATTTTCCCTCAGTAAATACAAAAGCAAAAATCTTACCAATTATTTTATAAAGAACACATGACATGAATGAACTCAGTTTGATCTTTTAATTTTCCCTCTTTAGAAAAAAAACAAAGGAAGCTGCCAATTTAATAAAGGAAATAGAGGTATAAGTTTTAATTATAAAGCTAATGACTTGAATGGGGAAAATAAAAATTACTTAGACTGGAAACAATAGTGCATGAACCAGGGATTCCTCTTTTACCTAATCTCTACTTGCAGATATTCAAAAAAGACTTTGGATGATCCAAAGTGATTCCACAAGGATTTTCTGGGACAAGAAGCCATTTCTCTCTACTGCGAGGAAATCCAGAATGAAGCTTTCTCTGCTTGCATATAACTTCCAACTAAATCACAGCAGATGTCTCTCTTTTTTTGCCCATCTGTCCTTCAAATTTCACTTTATTCAAATTTGAATTTGGAGAGACTTTTCAGTGTGTATTTTGCCAAGATATGGAGCTGTAAACAAGAACCTGTAAGTAAATAAGAATTTTTATAGGAAAAACTGATCTAACAGTTTTCTTTTTTAAGGTCCCAATGAAAAGCTTTCTTGTTTTGTTAAAGAACTGAAATGTTGACACAAGTACGATTTGTATTTTTGCACAATGGAATGTAAATAATTTTATTAACTAGCTTAGGGAAAAGAGTCGAGAGTTATATTCATTTATTTATTAATCAACTGTATATAGGTGCCCATTTCGCCCATTTCTGGGTGATGCACAACAATAGATTAAAAATATTTAAACAGTGAGTAAAATGTAATTAAAAAATAGTAGTGAATGTCTTCAAAGTACAATTAAAGTGAGGGTTTTTTTTTAATATCCCCCTCAATACCATCTAGCCAAGTCTCCAGTTCCATGGGAGCTGCAGGCCTGCTCACATAACTAGATCTTGAAATCCCAAACGTGCTTTTTCAGGAGGCAACTGGACATGAAGCTCTTGGATGAGAAGTGAAACGCCTTCAAAGAATAACAAGAAAGCCCAGTTGCCTCTTGAAAAAGGACTTTTGGGACACCATGACCTGGATAACTGAGAATTTCCATAAACATCCAGATCTTGAGGTTTTGGAGAATATGTTAAAGGGATGGGATGGGGCCAATCTGTTTTCAGTGGGAAGGATGCTCCATAAGTCATGTGCCCTAACAGAGAAGGCACATCTCTGAAATCAACCAAATTTAGGTCCCTGGCCAGTAATACTCATGGCCTGCCTTCCCTGCAAGATCTGGTATAGGCTGATGTAAGTGGGAAAAACGATTCCTCTGATAGCCCAGTCTCATGCCATGCAGGGCTTTAAATGTTAAAACCAGCACCTTGAGTTGTACCCAGAAGCAATCTGGCAACCAGGCAGGTTGTGGAGCAGAGTTATAACATGTGCTGTTCATGAAGAATGCATTGCAGTAGTCAAACTTGAAGGTGGCCAAGGCCTGAGTGAGTATAAACAGGACTTGCTGGACCAGGAACTAATACAGCTGGTACAGAAAGCGAAATTGTGCAAAGGCCCTTAAGCCATGACTGCCACCTGCTCATCAAGCAGGAGTTATGAGTCCAGGAGGACCTCCAGATTGCACAGGAAAATAACTAAGCAGAGACAGTCCATAAATTCCTTGATCGGAAGGAGAATATAAAAGTTGTGGTTGCATATAAAATACTTGCAGCCTAGATACAACAATCTGAGTAGCTTTTTGGTTTTTTGATACTAACAAATCTACAATGAGATAATCTGAAAGAAAAAAATCCGATCTAAAAGATCATTGGTGAGGTCCATATTTTATATAAGGAAAACATTGTATTATATTAGTTGTTTTAAAAGGATGTTGCTAATCATGGGGGACCACATGATTTCGGCTAGCAGCTGGCTCTTTTACCATCCTAATCCTTTAAAAATTACTCATTTATCCTTGTCAGATGCCTATGCCCAAAGAATCATAGCTAGCTACTTAATGTTCCATTGTGATATGGAAACTGCTTTCCTGTCAAATATAAAATTGTCAATATGATAGTCAGGACAGTAATAATATGGGGGGGGGGGGAGATCCAGCCTC